ATTTCCAGGGGAGAGTAAGGGCGCCACCGCGTGGCCAAGACGTGAAGCGACTCCTGGCAGCTCCAGCCCGGCTTGCAGGGCGTGGGGTCTCCGGACTTTTGTCCCCGAAGATCCCTACGCTAGGCACGCCGTCTCTCAGCCTTTGGGTCACCTCCTGGCACCGCATTACCGGGACGCTGCCGCCCCCCTCAGTTTGGCTCGCCTCCATCCGCTCCCTCACGCAGCGTGCAATCTGTAAAGGCGGACCGGGTGCAGGAGTGGATGACTTTATTGCTCGGGCCCCCGTGACCGCCGCCCCTCAGGTCCTCCTCAGGCAGCTGAGCCCTCAGCCATCACTCCGTCGATCCAGGCCACGTAGCTCGCCACGCGCGTGTAGATGCCGGGCTTCTTGTGGTTGCCACAAACACGTGAGCCCGAGGTGACCACGCCCTCGGCCACGCCGCCGCACACCAGCGGGCCTCCAGAGTCACCCTGCAGGGAGCGATGTCATGAGGTCCTGTCATGAGGTCCGGTGCAGGGCCGCCGCAGGCGTCCGGCCCGCCCTTCGGCGTCTGGTCCGGCTCCACCGGCGCCTGCTGCAATTCCCCTCAGCCCGCCGGTCCCAACAGTTCCCTCGCTCGTCAATCTCAGGCCCCGCCCACCAAGGCCCCACCTCCGCCGGCTTTCGGCTCCGCCCCTCTCCAGGCTCCACTCCGCACTCCGTCCCACGGAAGTGGAACAGCCCCCTCCTCCGACCCTGCCCCACTCCTGGCCCTCTCCAAGCTCGGGCCCCAACTCGTCCGCACCCTCTTCCAGATCCCACCTCTCCTCCCAACCCTGCCTAGACTTCTGGCCAGCCACGCCCACCCAGTCTGAGTCATTGACCCTCCCATCTCAGCCCCCACACCTGCCTCAGGCCACGCCCACTCTCCTGGGGGGGGCACTCTGCGAGCTCCCCCGCGCGCGACCCGCCCTTTCCATCAGCCTCGCCTCCCGTATTCCCGCGCGCCCCGCCCCTTCTGTTGGCTCCGCCCCCCGCCGGCCGCGCCCCCCCCCCCCCCCCCCCCCCCCCCCGCCTCGCCCTCCCGAGGCCTTGGCCCCCACCCCTCTACTGGACCAGCCCCGCCCTTGCACCTTGCAGCTGTCCCGGTGTCTGCTCTCCGCGCACATCATGCTGTTGGTGATGGTGCCGTCATGGTACTTGCGCAGGTTGCAGGTGGCGCGGTCGAGCACCGGCAGGAGTAGGTGCTGCAGGCGGTCTGGCCGCCGGCCAGCGTGGTTAACCACGCCCCAGCCGGCCACGTCGCAGAGCGTGCCGGCCGCCACGTCGCGGTCCTTGCGCTGCCAGGGCAGGGGCTGCACGTAGGGGCCCAGCACGGCCTTCTCAGAGAGCTGGGGGTTGGGGCGGAAGGGGATGTTAGGGTCGGGGCGGGGGCGAGGGCGAGGGCCCCGGGGCAGCAGGGGGGACCGGGGCTAGACTCAGCAGACCTGCAGCAGGAGGAGGTCGTGGTCGATGGTCTCCGGCCGGCTGTCTGGGTGGGGCACTGCGCGTAGCACGTCGTACAGGCGCTTGGAGGGCTCCGGCTGTGACAGGGAGTGCGCGCCCAGGAGCACCTGCACCTTCCCGTCGGCCCTGGGAGTGGGGTGGACCCACCATCAGAGTCACGTTCCCGCCCCACCTCACCCCACCCCACCCCGTCCCGCTCTTTGCCCCAGGCCACTCACACATCCTCCAGGCAGTGCGCTGCGCTCATTACCCACTGCTCGGCCACCAGGAAGCCTCCGCACACGTGCTTGCCGTTCACTTGCACGGATGCCATGTAGGGCCGCGAGTGGGACATGGCCTCTCGGCCGCCCAGGATCCTGCCGCGGGGCTGAGCCGCTGGAGGTAGGCAGGTCAGCGTGAGGACTTAGGGGGTGACTGCAGCCCCCCCCCCGCTACGATTCTCTCTCTACCCCGAGGCGGCTCCAGCACCCCTCAGACCTGGAATTCCATCCTTACAATCCTCCCCGACAGAGTTGCAAACTCCGGGGGGGCCCAGGGAGGAATGCCCGAGAAGACAGATGATAGGGAGTGACCGAGTCTGGGGCAAATGCCATACCTACACATTGGGCCTGAGGCTGCAATTTAAACATAAGGAAAGCCGGACTGTCCAAACCCAACACCCCTGCCAGCCATTACCCCTCGAGCTGCCGGTTTTCCAGTGTGTGGAAAGCTAGGTTCAAAGTTTTGAGAATTACCCCCGGTGGTCCAGTGGTTAGGACTCGTTGCTTTCACTGCCGAGTGCACGGGTTCAATCCCTGGTGGGTGATCTAAGATCCCACAAGCTGCACAGCCCGGCCTCCTCCCCACCAAAAAAATAAACCACCAAAATTTTGAGAATTCTTTGGTTTTCAGAGGCTTCTGTTCATGTGAAACCTGCCCCCTCCCTTCCCACTTAGGGGGGCTGGAGGACAGTCCTGTTTGACGGAGCAGGCCCCCTGGCTGACCGCCCTGCAGGCTGGTGGCCCCCAGCGGTCACCGCAGGCCCAGGTCCACTCACCACACACGGTCGCCCCGAGGAGGATCAGAGCCGCCAGGTGCAGGGAGCGGTCCGCCATGATGCTGCAGTGGCCTTGACACTGACCCAGGCTAGGCCCTGGGGGTGCTTTTATGAGGGTGGAAGGGGGCGGGCTCTCGCACAGGCCCTATCAGCCGGGTGGGCAGCAGCCCAGTTGGCATGGGGAAGCCATCTGGCCACCCTCCCCAGGGGTGTGGTTGTCTCCCATGGACTTTGTACCAAGAGTATAGACAGGCTGCTGGGCATACGTCCCGCCTCTGTGAGCCTGGCCCAGGGCTGGGCCAGGCACAGGGGCTCCTGTGGGGAGCAGCCCCTCAGGATGGGCGGCAGGCAGAGCAGAGGGATGGACCTACACCCAGCCTCACAGCCCCGTCTCTGCAGAGTGCCTTTGCAGCCCCAAAGTTTCACAACAGCAGCTGGGAACCACAGTTTGTAAACAGCCCACTTCCGCATTGTCTGCTTCTTTCTCTTTCTCTTCCTCCTGCAACTTGGAGAGGAGGTCGGGTGGGGGTGGGGGAGAGGTCATCCAACACCCTTGTCCCTGTTGCTGTGGCTCTGGAGCTTGATACCCGAACAAGTAGAATATTGGAAAGGTGGTGTGTATGGGGCAGCTGGAAAGACCATTGGATACAAGTGACAGAAAAACCGAGGCAAACTGGGTGGAGCCTTCTGCAAGGAAATTACGTGGAAAGTTCATGGGTCTACCTTCAGGTGTAGCTTGATCCAGTTACTTGAACAAGGTCAGGTTTCTGCCTTTGGTTCCTCCTTTCCTCCTTGATGGCTTTTCTCCTCACCAGGCTCCCCTGTTGTGACCCCAGACTCGGCCCAGGAGCTCAGTCAGCCCCTCCGTAAATTCCCCATCACTGTAGCCGGAATCTCAAGCCTGCCTCTGACTGGCCGAGCTTGGATCGCATGCCCCTACACCGTCACTGCGGGCAGGTGATGGCAGGTTCTGAGGAGCAGAACCTGGGTCACATGGCCCTCTATAAGTTGGGGATGGCGGGTCAACATCTCGTGAACCTACTACTAGTGGGAGATGCTGCGTGTGACCAGAAGGGTGGGGAGGACCTCAGGCTGCTCCCAGTGGGAACAGTGCACAATCTTTTCCCCTCTCCTTCTTTTCGTGGTGAAAAGAAAAATAGAGAACAACATAACAAATGGGACTTGTTAGATCCCAACGTGTTTTCTTACTCAAATCAGAAACTCTGAAACGAAAGCCCATTCGCATGTGGAGTCCAGATTATGTAAGTCAGAGTGTTGGAAATTGCAACAAAATTTGGAAATGACCCAACAAGACAAGATGGTTCAATAAATAACCCTGCTCGTCCCCGGATGTTTTGTTGACATGGAAAGACCGCCAGGGTGTAGTATTGATTAAGTGGAAAAAGTGATTGCAGGGCAGTGGGTCACCTTTCTGAGCCGCTGGCACCTGGGGGGAGGTGTGCCCCGGTGACAACCTGCGGGAAGAGCCGGCAGGCAGAGGGAGCAGCAGACGTTAACGACCTTGAGGTGGGACCCCCCCCCCGGGGGGGGTGCTGCAGGGATCGGGTATTTGAGGATTTGGCACGAGGGGACAGAGAGGGAGAGATTTATCCTGGCCCCCTGGTGTGGGGTCCGGGGTGGGGGAAGGGGTGTCACCTGATGTTAACTTCTCTCATTTACTTGCTTGGGTGATTATTTCCCACGCCATCAGACTGTGAGCCGAGTGATGGCAGAGGCCACATGTGTCGCGGCCCCCACCTGTGGCCCCAGGAGGTTCCTTCTCAGGCTCAGAGGCAGAAGAGGGGTGCAGGCTGGCCGTCTCCCCCAGGGCTGTGACTCCTTCGGGGCTGGGTGTTTCCTTGTGAAACATCTGCGTGGCTTTGCCCCCCGACCCCTGCCAAGGCAGAAGGCTGGGGAGGTGGGGGAGGGATTGTCTCCCCACCCAGTGAGGCCAAGGCTGGCCTGGGACCCCAACCCCTGGCTGGGTCCTTCCCAGATAGTGTGCCTCACTCTTCCCCACAGGGAAACTCAGGCTCAGAGACAGCAAGCAAGTTGCCCAAAGTCACAGAGCCGGGACTCAAACCCAGGCTCCTGAGCGTGGCCTCACAGCTCTCTGCACCTCCACTTCCTCATCTGTAAAGTGGGGCAACTCATAGGACCTGCCTCGAGGGCGGAGAGCACCAGTTGAGTGAATACTTGCAAAGACTCACAATGGTTTCTATGCCTTGTAAGCACTCATGAACACTCGCTACAGTGCTTTTCAGTATCGCCACCTGCAACATTAGTTTAATTATGCTTGATAGGAGGAAAAACCAGAAATGGCAATCAGTATCCTTTTGTAGAGGGTGGGGAAGGGACTTCTTACCCCAATGCCCTGAATTAGCTGCCACCTGGTGGCAGCGTACTCGTGACATGCCCAAGACATTCTCCTGAGGACTTTTGACACCCGGTGGCACAACCAGCAAACCCCCAGACACATTCTACAAAACAGAAGGTTTTTATTGTGCTAGGTGCCACATGACGCTGCATGGGAAGGGCCCAGCCAGGGGCGGGTCAGGTGGGGTGACAGGAGAAGCCCCTTCTAGCAGGTCCTGCCCGCAGCGTCCCTAGGGTGGAGGGAGGGGCCGTCATCGTCACCGTAGCGGCGGATGATGGAGTTGATCCAGTCTGCAAACTTGGCGACGGAGGCAAAGGCGTCTGGGAAGGTCCCGGAGCCGCAGCCCCCTCGGATGAAGGAATCGATCCCATGGACCAGCCTGTTGCAGACCAGGGGCCCGCCGGAGTCCCCCTGTGGAGCCAGACAAGTTCGGGAGTCTGGGCTTCCAGTCCCCACCCTCACACCCCCACCCACCCCCTTCAGGGTCGGGGACTCCTTCCACGGGACTGGCTGTAGTCCTAGTTGCTGCAGCCTGGATGGGAGCGCGGTGGTGGCTCGGGGGGACATGGGGTACGTACAAAGCAGATGCCGGCATGCCGGCCTGGCACCAGGGTGCACACGTTGGAGGGGCGGCAGAGGGCTGTCACCACGGTCACGTTGAGCTGCTGCAGGACTGGGGGCGGTGGCCGGTTCGTGTCCAGCTGGCCCCAGCCCATGGCCACACACTGCACCCCTTCTCCCACGCCTTGGTCCTGGGCGGGCAGCTGGGCCACCTGCACATTGGTGTTGATGGTGGCCATCCTGCTGAGCTGCAGCAGGTGGGATGGAGCAGTGGCATGTCACAGAGGGTGGGGAGTGACGACCCTCACCTCTCTGGGCCCTGGTTTCCCCAACCAAGGCTCCACCATGGTCCTGGAATGTTTCAGAGCAGGACACCCACCCTGCAGGTTGCCTCCCACTTCAAGCCTCAGTTTCCCCGTCCGTAAAGTGGGAGCAGTCACCGTGGCTCAGGGCATCCCTGGATCTGTCTTGAGTGCAATAAACAGTAGGTAATAGGGCTTCCCTGGTGGCATAGTGGTTGAGAATCTGCCTGCTAATGCAGGGGACACGGGTTCGAGCCCTGGTCTGGGAGGATCGCACGTGCCGTGGAGCAACTAGGCCCGTGAGCCACAACTACTGAGCCTGCGCGTCTGGAGCCTGTGCTCCGCAACAAGAGAGGCCGCGATAGTGAGAGACCCGCACACCGCGATGAAGAGTGGCCCCCGCTTGCCACAACTAGAGAAAGCCCTCGCACAGAAACGAAGACCCAACACAGCAAAAATAAATTAATTAATAAACTCCTACCCCCAACATCTTCTCTAAAAAAAAAAAAAAAAGGTAATAAAGCAAACGATGGGCCACAGCAACGACCATAAAACCCTTGTTCTAGAACATTGCCTGAGAATAATCATAGCTGGGCAAGCAGAGGGGAAAGGCAGGTTTCTCCCTCCGGTCTCCCACTGGCCCGAATGTGGGGAATTTTGCCCCATTTGGCAAAGAGGGAGACTGCCCCTTCCCTCTGCCAGCGGGCACAAAAATACCTTTCTCGCTGTCATCTCATGTAATCTCTGACAGCCCTGCACGGCGGGGGTGGGGTGGGGGTGGAGAGTATTTCTCTGTTTTACAGAGGGGGAGACTGAGGCACACAGAGATGGGGGCGACACCGGGTCTGCGCCCGCCAGCCTTGTCCCCCAGGCTCCTGCCCCTCCCCCACCCTCCCCAAGCCTCCCACGGGCCTTTGCACCTGCTCTTCCTGCCCCGCCCCCGGCCACGCACCTGGAGAACCGCGATGTCATTCTGCAGGCGCAAGGGGTTGAAGCCGTTTTTAAAGACCCGCTGGACCCTGAACGTCTGCCGGGTCCGCTCTTGCCGACGCAGGTTATGTGCCCCCAGCACCACGCGCACCGACCGGTGGTTCCTGGGGCGGGGGGACAGGAGGTGATTGGGGCGCCCGCGGGGTCGGGAGCGGCGGAGAGACCCCGCCCGAGCGTAGGAGGACCTGCAAACCCTCGCGCCTTCGCCGGAAGGCCCCACCCCGGGCCCGCAGCACGGCCCGCGCGACCCTCGCGCGGCGGGCGCACTGGAACCCGAGATGGGGACGCGCGGGGACACTCACATGCCGTTCAGACAGTGCGCGGCCGACAGCACGAAGTTCCGCGCGATCAGGGTGCCGCCGCAGAAGTGGCGTCCGCGCCTCTGCAGGGACGCCATGAAGGGCCACGCGTGCGGCCTGGCCGGCCGGCCCCCCACGATCTCCGAGGCCAGCGCGGGGCCTGGGGGCAAGGGCGGTGGCGGCGGTGAGCGGCGCGGAGGAGCCCCGCCCCCGCCCGGGAACCCCCCCCCCTCCCAGGACCCCACCGGGTCGGGTTCTTGCCGTGCTTGTCGCCCAGAGAGGTGAGGGGGCCTGCAGGGTCCCCCTGCCAGGGCGCAGCTAGATCTGGACTTCACCCGCTGGGAGTCCCCAGAGACCCCGCTGTTCAGACCTCACCACTCAGGACCTCAGCCTTCTCCTTATCCCAGCTGTCACTCCCCATGAGGATGAGGGGGCCGAGAGGGTCCCCATCAGGTGGAGAGGCAGGACTGGACCCCAGGGACTGACCCGGGCCCCGCTCACCACCCAGCAGCACGGCCAACAGGACAGCGGCCAGGGCAGGGCTGGAGGGTCTGCAGCTTTGGATCATGGTTGGGCGGGAGCTCTGGCGTCTCTGCCCTTTGTGCCCACCTGCCCCTCTTATAGCCCCCATGCCCCAAGGCCGTTGCAGTTGCCCGTGGGGGGGCCTGGTGCCCCCGCTTCCTCTCTGCCCATCCTGGGACGTGGGGGACGAGGGGGTGATGGGAGAACAGGGGGGAGAGGATGTGTGCAAGGGGCGGGGCTGGCTCCAGGAGGGTCCCCGGATCAAACTCAGGATGCACAATTAAACTGGAACGTCAGATAAGCTTTTTTTTTTTTTAGCATAAGTATATCCCAAATATAAGCACAGGATGTACTTACGTACAAAGTTAGTCTTTGTTTATCCGACATTCAAAGTTTGCTGGGAGTACTGTATTTTTGCTAAATCTGACCACTCCGGCCCAGAGGAGTTGGCTGGGATGCCCACGTGCCTCAGTTTACCCAGGGCAACGGCAACCATGTGCACGCAGCCCTGTCCTGACATTTGGGAGCTGCCTACCCAGTGAAATGGTGGGGGGACTGGGCTTTGAACCCAGGTGCCCACAGTGCCACAGATTTGCTGCCTATTCCTCAGCCTTGGGTCTCCCTCTTGGAGCCCGGACTGGTTGCTGTTCCTAACGGGGAACTCAGTCCCACCTGGGACCTGGTCAGTCTCTGGGGGCCCTCAGAGGTTCTGGGAAGGAATCCCTCCCACCCCCACCCCACCCGTACCCCTCTGAGCTTCTCTGAACCCCCTTCCAGCCTGAGGCAGAGGAAAAAATTCCTGCCCAGACCTGGAGGCTGGATCATGGATCTCCAACCAAGTTTGAGAACTTCAGCCTGGACCTTGGAAGAACTCAAGCCGAACAATTGAGATGGGGTCCACCAGGGCCAGTTCCCAGCCCCGTGGCCCCAGTTCAACTCCCCCACCCCCACCCCGTCCCAGGCTGCTCCAGCTGCAACTGTTGTAGCCAAGGCTGTCGCAAGAAGCAACGTTCTCCTGGCTCGGAGCAGGGTTCAGGGGAGGGAACCAACGGATCCATCTGCAGGAACAGGCGGGCGGGGGCCCTCAGGGACACCCAGAGGCGGGCTGGGGCTGGAGTCCAGTTTGTCCCTGGGCTCCTCCTTGGTGTGTGGCCACAGGCAAGCAAACCTCCATCTCTCCCCTCTCGGTGGGGTCCCCACCCTGCTGAGTTAAAGTTACCATAGAGCACTTGGTAAGCACCTGCTGTATACATAACCCTGTTTCCAGTGGGGGTGGGAATAATGGAGGAGACCGTGACTCAGGCAGGGAGACCAGATTTAAACAAAAGCTGCATCTATATGGAGCACCACCTGTATGCTATTTCCTCACAGGTCATGGTGGCTAAGCTTGTGGACTCTGGGTTCAGATCCTGGAGTGGCCACTTGCCCACTATGACTTCAGGCTATGGATGTAACCCCTCCATGCCTCAGTTTCCTCATCTGTAAAATGGAAGTTATAGGCTCCCATCTCACAGGATTGTCCTGAGGATTAAATGAATGAACTTTTTGTAAAGTTCTCAGATGAGAAAGTGCCGTCCTTGAGGGCTTGTTAACCATTAACCCTCTTCCAAAGGGCGTGGTGCTGGTTGCCTTGGGGAGCGGGGCTGGGCATCTGGGGGAGTTCTGATTCACGATCAGAGCCGTGATGCCACGGGGAGTCTCTCGTTTGATCCCCGTCACACCGCAACAGGAAAATGATGCTCTGCGTGTCCTTCCCACGCTGTTGGGAGCCGCCCTGCTGTCCCCGAGGTCCCCCAGGTCGCATCTGCCCAACATCCTGTTTATGATTCCTGTGGGTCTGTCCCCTGAATCTCAACAACCCCGGCCAACCTCCAGCAAATCAACCCAGGCCCCTATATCCCCCAGCCTCACCTCCCCTTCTTGGATCTGATCTTTGGTGTGCAGAACTTTCCTCTGTCACACACACACGTACACGGGCTCATGGAAAATAGAAAACAGGCTTCCCTGGTGGCACAGTGGTTAAGAATCCGCCTGCCAGTGCAGGGGACACGGGTTCGAGCCCTGGTCCGGGAAGATCCCACATGCCGCGGAACAACTAAGCCCGTGCGCCACAACTACTGAGCCTGCGCTCTAGAGCCCGCGAGCCACAACTACTGAAGCCCGTGAGCCACAACTACTGAGCCTGAGCTCTAGAGCCCGCGAGCCACAACTACTGAAGCCCGTGAGCCACAACTACTGAGCCCGCGCGCCTAGACCCCGTGCTCCACAAGAGAAGCCACTGCAGTGAGAGAAGCCTGCGCACCCACCCCAACGAAGAGTAGCCCCCTCTCGCGCAACTAGAGGAAGCCTGTGTGCAGCAGCAAAGACCCAAGGCAGCCAAAAAAAAAAAAAAGTTAAAAAAAAAGAAAGAAAATAGAAAACACCCGGGGCTGTTTTTTCTGGATCTTTCTGTTCCCATCAATGGGCTCAATCCAACATTCCCTCCAGCAAACCTCATTTACCCCCAGTGCTGGGCACCAAAATCCCTCTGGGCTTTTTATAGAAACCACTTCCCTGCCGCTGGCCCGTGGGAAATGCAGAAAATTCCCGGCGTTCCCTCAACACTTATCAGCTTGCGTTTCCCAGGATTTCGGCTTTGCCTCAGGTCTCAGCACACCCTTGCTCCTGCTGAAGTGGAAAACCAGTCTCATCTCCTCCCCTGGGGTGGTCGGCTGAGGTGTGAAACAGTTAAAAAGGGGGCAGCCCTGGGGGTTCTGGCTCCAGCTTGAATTCGCATGCTGCCACCAGATGGCGGCAGAGTAAATCAGTAACAAAAGAGCTGCCTTCCAACTCTGGTGTGTCCGGTGAGCTGGTTGGCCCCTCTCTCTGAGCCTCCACTGCCTCATTGCCGTGGCCACGTGCCCTCTCCACGGCTGGCCAATGACCCCTACCTCTGCCTGGCCTCAGGCCTCTCCTCTAGACCCCAGTTCATTCTGTGGCCCTGCATGCTCTATCCCTGCCCCCTCCCTGACCTGCTCTCCTTCCCCCACACCCCCAAGCTTGTCCTGATGCAGGGCCCCTTACACTGGCTGTGCCTTGCCTGGCGACACTTCTCCTTTTGTTCGTATTCAGGCATTGCTGCCTCCTTCAAGAAGCCTCCCTAATAGCCTTTCTGCCTGCCCCTGACCGGTCAGGAGCCCCACAGGCCCTGGGCACCCCGTGTTATGAGAGCTTGGTCCTCAAGTGGCCCCAGAGCTAGGAGACACAGAACTGGACAGGACACCCCTAGCCCTGAGGGCCAGGGTGGGGCTCCTTGGACACTTGGGAAATGTCTGGAGTGACTCCGTTTTCCAGATGAGGAAACTGAGGCACAGAGAGGGGCAGCAACTTGCCCCGGGTCACACTGGCGGGGCTGGGTTAGAACCCACGTCTGCGGGCATCTGGGGAGTGGGATCCGCTGTGACCTGCGCCCTCCTCCGACTTCCAGGCCTCTGTTCCCACCCCCACCCCGAGCTCGGGGTTTGGGGACTCGGACGCTGAGGACCCTGGGCCACTCTCCCCCACATCTCCCTGTGGGAAGGACACACAGGAGCCAGGGGGACGGTTCAGCTTTTATTGATGCACCGTGGGTCTGCCTGGCTCCCAAGAGCCGGGGGCGCAGGAAGGGGGGCACGGGCGCAGAAGCAGACCCGTCGCGTCTCTCCACAGCATGGCCTCAGTGGGGGTGGGGGTGGGGCCTCAGGGGCCGTCCTCGCCCCCCGCGTTGCTCAGCACTGAGCAGATCCAGTCTACGTAGAGGGAGACGCGAGCAAAGAAGTCCGGGTACTGGCGGGTGGCGCGTCCCTGGATCACAAAGGAGTCCATGCCCTGGATGACACCGTCGCAGATCAAGGGGCCGCCCGAGTCTCCCTGGGGAGGGTGCAGGTCGGTCAGTCACTCAGGCCAGGCCAGCAGTCAGACGAGGCTACCTCAGGGGAAGGGGCCACGTAGGAGTGAAATGTTTCCAGTCTAGAATTTTCTTTAAAGTATGTGGGTGAGACAAGGAGGGGAGGCCCCTCTGGAGGAGAGAGGGCATTTATTGGCCCCCTGCTATATACCTGGACCCCAGAATTCTGGGTGTGGCCCCAGGAGCGGGGCTGGGGCACCCACCCAAGGGGGGGGCTGAGGGGTGGAAAAGCCCCCAGACCCATGAAGGCCCCGTTACCCCCTCACGATGGGTGTGCCCACCTTCCAGATGGTGTGACGGAGGCACCCGCCTGCCTGCCCTCCCTCCCTGTCCCGGCTGTCCCTGCAGCCACCGAGCTGCAGCCCCCAGTACATACAAAACAGATGCCAGCGCTGCGTCGGGGCACAAAGGTGCACACGTTCTGTGGCCGGCACAGGAAAGTGACCACGGTGACGTTGAGCTCCTGCAGGACCTGGGGCAGCGGCTCAGGTGCCCAGGCGGCCCCAGCCCACGGCCAGGCACTGGGTGCCGTGGGGCAGCAGCTGGTTCTGCTGGGGGAGCTGGGCCACCGCAACCTGGGGGTTGAGGGTGGCCGGGCGGTCCAGCTGGGACAGAGGGCGGTTGGTGGGCAGTGAGTCTCCAGGACCCGCAGCCACCCGTGGACGATTATCTCAAAGTGCCTCCTCCAGGCCTTTGCACATGCTGTTCCCTCCGCCTGGCTCTACCTCAGGGGTCACCTCCTCCAGGGAGGCTGCCCTGATCACCCTCCAAACCTGCCAGGGCTCAGTTTCACATTCCCCGAGGCCATGAGACTCCCCTTTGCAGCATTGGTCACTGTTGCGTTCATTCACTTACGAAGCACTTATTGAGCACCAACTGTATGCTTGATCCTGGGCTAAGCCCTGGGGATCCTACCTCTGCCTTCCGGGAGCTTATCTTTGGGGCTGGGAGGGGCCAAGAAGAGAATGGCAGGTGGCAGAGTCAAGGGAAACATAGCCCAGTGATGAACAGTGTATGGGGGAGGGGTGGCTGTCACTCAAGTAGGGTGAGGGGAGGCTTCCCTGAGGAGGGGAGGCTGGTGCCAAGGCTGAGGGTATCTGGGAACAGCGCAGGCAGCAGGGAGGGGACGCAGCTGGGCAAAGGCTGGGGGCGGGGCGTGGGGGCATCCCGCTTGCTCAGAAGGTGGTGACTGGCTCTCTCCCCACCAGGCCGTGTCCCACGCCTGCCGGGGCTCCTGTACAGTAGGTGCTGGAAAATGAATGAACAGGGGTTCCTGGGCCCTGCTGGCCCCGCGCACCCACCTGCAGGAGGAGGACGTCATTCGGCTTCTCCTGTGGGTCGTAGTTGTTCTCAAACAGGCGGCTGATGCTGAACCTCTGCTCGGTGGGCTCGGAGGTCTGCAGGCTGTGCGCCTCGCTGGGACCCCGCCCCCCCCCCCCCCCCCCCCCCCCACGTCCTGAGGCCCACGGTGCAGCCCCTCAGGGACTGCCCGCCGTCCCAGGAGACGCCCCACCCCCACCCCGCGTCTGCATCTTGCCCCCGAGGGTTGGACCCCTGGCTTGAGCTAATCCTCCTGGGGCTTCAGGGGGTCACGTCGGACTGGAGAGCAGGGCAGGTGCCTGCCTAGTTTGGGATGAGAGAGTTGGGCAGATGGATGGAGGGGCTGAGACCAGGCAAGCGGAGGCAGGCCGCGCCTCGCCCCCTCGGACCCCCGGGGCAGCGCCGCGCCCCCTCCCTCGGAGCACCACCCCCTCCCCGGGCAGGCCCGCACCGCGCAGGCGCACTCACTCACACGTTGTTCAGGCAGTGGGCTGCGGTCAGCACGAAGCGCGGGTGGATCAAGGTCCCCCCGCAGAAGTGGTTGCTGGGGAACAGCTCCAGCGACGCCATGTAGGGGCGCGAGTGGGGCTGGGCTTCCCGCCCGCCCACTATCTCCGCGGCCCGGGCTACACCTGGGGACGCCGGGGTCAGCGGCCGTCGCCTTGCCTAACGCCCTCCGCGGCTCCCTGGACGGGGGACCGACCCCACCCCACCGCCCCATCCCCCGCCCAGGGAGCCCAGACGGGGGTCGGGGGACGAGGGCAGAGCCGCTGTGTGGCCTCCACCAGGCCCGGGACCCCTCAGAGCCTCCGTTTCCCCATGTGCAAATTGGAGGTCCCGTAGCAGCACAGGGCGGCTGGGGGCTGTGGAGGGAAGAGGCCCGGGCCGGGGACAGTTAGCGCTGGGGAGAGCCCGGTGGTCATTATCATTATTATTTCAGTAGGCTCCCAGGAAGCAGCGGCGCCCAGTCCTGGAGGTCAGGAGGGGGAAGAAGCTGGCAAGATGACCCATCTTGCAGATGGACAAACTGAGGCATGAAAAAGCCTCATCAGGATGAGGGCGGAGGGGTTCCCTCACTCCGGTTTTTCCTCTGACATGTGCGTCGTTCACTCGGTGACACATTCGTTCGTGCGTGCACACTTACTGAGTGCTTGCTGGGTGCCAGGTGCTGTCCAGGGATTCTGGTTATATTGAGTCCCTAGGACACCTCCCTGGGCAGGAAGGACTAGGTTTTGCCCATTTTACAGATGGGGAAAGAGAGCTACGTATCCCAGGCCCCGCCTTTCTCTCCTCCCCTCCCCTTGAGGCATTCATCCCAAGCAGCCAGCTGAGCTGGGTCCTGCTTCACTTTCCCCATCTGAGCCGTGAGGGCATGGGACAGGCAGATGGACGGACGGACGGACTTGGGCCCCACGCACCGCCCAGCAGCACAGCCAGCAGCACCGGGGCGAGGGCAGGGCTGGAGGGTCTGCAGCTTCGGGTCATGGTTGGGCCATGCCCCCTGCCTGCCCACCCCCTCTTATAGCCCCAATTCAGGGAGGCCATTAGGGTTGCCCCACACCTGGGCTGGGCGTCCCCACTTCCTCCTTCCAGCTTGAGGGCTGGGGAGCTTGGGGGTCAAAGCTGCACCCCAGGAAGCCTGCAGGGGCTTCAGGCTCAGGCTCGGGGTCCTCAAGAGATGCAGGAAGGTGGCTCCCACCCACCCCATGCGGGAAGTCCTCTGGACAAGGGGGCTTGTGGCCACAGCCCTCACAGTGACATGCACCCCCGCTTCCACACCTCCAAGGGGGCACTGCCTGCCCCCAGAGGGTCCCTGTAGCCCCAGCAAGGTGAGATGTGGCCGACGTGTGCAGGGGTGGGATGAATCCCACTCAGCAGGACAGAAAAGGGGGTGAGGGTCTCAGAGCACTGCGCCTCCTGAGACCCACAGGATCATCTCTCTGCCCTCACTTTGTCTGGGGGAGTCGCTCTTCCCTCTAAGGCAGAGCTCTCACCTGGGGCGATTCCTCCCCCAGGGACACCTGGAGATATCTGGGGACACCTGTGGTCGTCACGACTGGGGGGCTCCTGGCATGCAGTGGCTGGGACCAGCGATGCTGCCCCACACGGGAGGGGGCAGGGGGAGACTCTGGTGCCGGGAGACATTTATTTATGTATCTATTTATAACTGACTCATTATTATGAAAAATTTAAACCTACAGAAGCATCGATAGAGGAGCTCACGGAATTTGGGGGCCAAAAAAAAGTTGTTAAGCTTTTCATTTTGAAAGCATTTCACGCTTACAGCAGTCCGCAGAATTCCCGGATGTGCTGCCCCAGCTTCCCCGGGGCCACGTCTTGCACAAAGTTTGCCCCCTCACAGGCCGCCTGGATTTCACAATCAGCCAGTCTCTGGTCCAGGATCCCCCACCCCGCCTCCCCGAGTCTCCTGGGCTCTGGGGCAGCCTGTCAGCCTCTCCTGGCCCTCATACCGTGTCCTTGGTGGCAACCTGGTGGGTTTTTGGGGGAACGTCCCTCCAAATGGGCTTGTGTGGGGTCCCCACACGGAGATGGGGTCTGCGTACCGATCGATGGTCCCCAGGACGTGGGGCATCATCTCTGAGGCGCCTGCGTGTCCCTCCCGCCGAGTCACACTTTCCCCTTTGGAATGAATGAATGTCTCTGAGGCAGAAACACCTGCTCTGAGTTTTGCCCACAAAGGACTCCTGGAGCAGCCTGCGTGCCTCACTGCTTCCCGCCCTGCGGTTGGCTGCCCCTCTGCCGATGCGTTTTTATTTTTTATCTTTTAAATTTTATTGAAGTAGAGTTGATTTACAATGTTGTGTTAATTTCTACTAAACGGCAAGGTGACTCAGTTATACATATATATATATATATATATATATATATATTCTTTTCTTTTTTTCCCCCCCCAGGCTCTTTTTTTCAAATTAATTAATTTATTTTTTATATTCTTTTCCATATTCTTTTCCATTATGGTTTATCACAGGTTAGTGAATATAGTTCCCTGTGCTCTACAGTAGGACCTTGTTGTTTATCCATCCTATGTATAATAGTTTGCATCTGCTAACCACAAACTCCCAGTCCATCCCTCCCCCACCCCTCTCCCCCTTGGCAACCATAACTCCGTTCTCTATGTCCGTGAGTCTGTTTCTGTTTCGAAGATAAGTTCATTTGTGTCATAGTTGAGATTCCACATATAAGTGATATCACATGGTATTTGTCTTTCTCTTTCTGACTTACTTCACTTAGTACGATCATATCTAAGTTCATCCATGTTGCTGCAAATGGCATTATTTCATTTCTTTTTTATGGCTGAGTCGTATTCCATTGTATATATGTACCACATCTTCTTTATCCATTCCTCTGTCGATGGACATTTAGGTTGTTTCCATGTCTTGGCTGTTGTGAACAGTGCTGGTATGAATATAAGGGTGCATGTATCTTTTCAAATTATACTTTTGTCGGGGTATATGCCCAGGAGTGGGATTGCTGGATCATATAGTAACTCTATTTTTAGTTTTTTGAGGAACCTCCACACTGTTCTCCACAGTGGCTGCACCAACTTACATTCCCACCAACAGTGTAGGAGGCTTCCCTTTTCTCCACACCCTCTCCAGCATTTGTAATTTGTAGACTTTTTGATGGTGGCCATTCTGACCCGTGTGAGGTCAGAATTCACACCTCATTGTATTTTTGATTTCCTCTTCTCTAATCACTAGTGATCTTTTCATGTGCCTGTTGGCCATCTGTATTGCCAAAGTGTTTTTAAGTCACACATCAGCCCAGTCACTCGGGAAAGGCCGCCGGGCGTCTGGGACTCCGCAGCCCTGGGTGTGGCCCTGACATGTCTCCACAGAAACCCGGGGCTGCTGTGCCTTTTGCTTTCAGAACTGGTTTTTCTCGTTTGACAAGAACAACTCTTCGGACTGGCACTGTCCGGTCCAGTGGGGCAGGCTGCTTGGTGCCTCGGTTTCCCCACGTGTACAATGGGGTGATCGTAGTCATAGTCCCTCCCCCAGGGCGACAGCAGGAGGATTGGATAAGTTAGAGTATTGGAGCGTGTGGGCGCGCAGTGAGGTGAGGTGAGCACAGGTGCCGGCCCTGTCGCTGCCACCCCACCACTCCCTTCCTTTTTCTGCTGTGCTTCTCCCTGTCTCAGCCCGTCCTCTCAGCGGCTGGGCCGGGTCAGCACGTGCCTCTCTCAGATCCAGGCTCTTCTGGGGCCAGACGCGGGGCGGGTTCACCCCAGGGTCCGGAGTCCCTCGCCTCGGTTCACATTCTGCTGTGCTTTGCGATTCTGGGCTAGAAACGCCACCTCTCTGGGCCTCGGTTTCCCCATCTGTTAATGCTGGGGAGTCATGAGAACAACCCCACCTCAGGGGCTGACTTCCCTAATACAGTTAAGAGCTTGATGAAAGGGGATACACACAGGGGAACATCACTCAGCCCCGAAAAGGAGAGAGACACTGACACTCGCTACAGCGTGGATGGACCCTGAGAACACGATGCTCAGTGAGAGAAGCCAGACACAGAAGGACGCACAGGGTGTGATTCCATTGATGGGAAACGTCCAGAACAGGCAGAGGGTTCCTGGTTGTCAGGGGCTGGGGGAGAGCATGGGGGTGAGTGCTCATGGGGACAGGGCTTCTTTTCAGGGTGGTGAGAACGTTCTGGAATTAGAAGTAGTGGTTGCACAACCCTGTGACTATACTAAACGCCGCTGAATTGTTAAGCGGGTGGGTTGTGTGGTAGGAGAAGTACATTTCGATAAAGCTTTAACTGAAAAAGAAAAAGAAACACACACACACAACCTTGCTAGGTAACTGCCCACAGGGTCCTGGCCGGAAGCTCTCCCTCCCCAGGGAGCCTCCCGGTGGGTGGGGTGGGGGGTGGGGGGGAGGGGAGTCACAGCATCAGACAAGACAGGGGGATGGCCCGGGGTCCTCCTCGCTGCTTCAGGCCTGGGGTGGGGGCAGGCAGGTGAGTGCAGGGCTGGGGGGCTGCCTGAAGGCAGAGGCTTGGGAAGGCACGGGACTGGGTGGGGAGCTGGGGCCACCGGGAGCCCTGGGGGTTGTAACTGGGAGGGAGGGAACCATCGGGGGCCTCTGGGGGTCGGGCTGGCAGGTGGAGGGGAAGTGAGGCTGGAAGCTGTGGCCTCGGCCCCTTCCCGCTCCAACTGTGGCTGGTGCAACAGGCAACGGCCTCGCCGGGAACGCGGGCTGGGGCGGGGTGAGGGGGCAAGCGGACCCGAGCCGACCCACCCAGGATCGAGGGAAGGAGGGCGGGAGAGGCTCAGCCTCTTTGTCTCTGCCTCTTTTTCCTCTTCTCTCCTGAAAAAGGAAAAACAGTCCTTTCTTGAGGGGGCCAGTGTTGGGGGCTCCAAGCTGAGACCATATGCTCTTGGACCGCAACACCCTAGGGCCTCAGTTTCCCCATCTGAACAATCAGCAGGCGGGACCCCTGGGACCCTTCTGGGCTCCTGAGCCGCTGACATTCCTCTCTGGGCCTCAGTTTCCCCTTCTATAAAGCAGGGCCCATTCTGAACCCCCAATTCCACTCCTGGGTACAAATCCATAGCATTGAAAATCGATGTTCAAACAAAACATGTACACAAATGTCCACAGCGACGTGATTCACATTAGCCAGGGTGGAACCAACCCAGAGACCATCGATGGATGATGTGGATATACATCCCTCCACACCCGGGAACATCACTCAGCCATGAAAAAGTGTGAAGCCCCGACACTCGCTACCACGTGGATGGACCCTGAGAACACGATGCTCAGTGAGAGAAGGCAGACACAGAAGGACACACAGGGTGTGATTCCACTGATGGGAAACGTCCAGGACAGGCCAGTCTACAGGAACAGAGAGTTAGTGGTTAGTGGTTGTCAGGGGCTGGGGGACGGGGAGGAGAGGTGACTGCCGATGGGGACGGAGCTTCTTTTTGGGGTGATGGACAGCGGTGAGGGTTGCACAACCTAGTGAAATACACTAAAAACCACTGAATTGTTCCCTTTAAAAGAGTGAATTTTATGTTATGTGAATTTCACTGCAATAAATTATGAAAAACAAATAAACAGACCCAGGTCCCACAGACCAGGCCTGTAGGATGGGGTGAGGGCCTGGCACACAGCTGGTGCCCAATAAGCGTCAGCAACGCCAGTGGTGATAGGAGCTCCCTGGGCCTCGGGCTCCCCATCTGTAAAATGGCTTAATGGCAACACAACTAACCTTGGTGGCCGGTGAGTGTGGGCCATCGCTGGGGGCTTCTGGGGCAGTGAGTGGGTGGAGGGTGCGTGGTCAGGGCAGGGGGCTCGGGACCGCGCAGACCCCAACACCACCCCGCTCGGGGCACAGCGCCGCCCCTTCGAGCCCCTCCCCTCCCCTGCGTGTTGGGGCGTCAGCAGTGCCTCCAGGAGAAGGGCAGAGCTGGGCATCTCCATTTTGGCCCCGACGCCGGCTGGGCTGAGCCCCTTCCACCGCTGTGTGCTACCCGCCCGCCCCGGCCTTCTGTGGTCTCCCCACCGCCAGCCCGGACGGAACACTGGATCCTTTGCAGTCTCTTTCCCTCGAGCCACGTGGCAGGACCTGTCCCCGTCTGTGCAAGGTGACACGTGGGCAGCCCCCAGGGCGGCACCTGTTTCGGATGCCCGACCCGTCCCTGCCACCCCGTCCCCCCAACCCCAGACGAGACACCGCAGACGGCAGGCTTCGTGATCACCCCCCTGGGTGAAAAGCCCACCTCCCAGGCCAGCAGGCATTTCTCATGCACTGGGTGAGGGGCAGTGTTTCCACATCGTCAAGAGCCTTCTGTGTTTCTTTGCTGTGAACTGTTTACATCCGGGACCCACTTTTTTACTACTGGGCTCTAATTGTTTTCCTTACTGATTTTAGGTGCACGTTATATGTATTATATTATAAATATATAAGATAAATATATTATAAATATAAATGTATAATATTTACACAATGGATTTGGTATATTTTATTATGAGTTATTAAGTATATATATATATATAT